CCCTGCCTCGGCTGCCACCCCCTCCACAACATCCTCCCCCGCAACCACCCCAGTGACCCCACCCTCCACACAATCCCCCCCTGTCTCTCGACACCTCGCATCCTCCAACGCCCGTGCGAACGCCTGAGCACGCGGGTTAGTCGATGCCATAAATCGAGCCCTCTCTTGCTCCATGATGTCGCGTGCCGCATCCAGAGACCCCGTCGTCGTCTCTCTCTGGGGCTGCGTGTGACTGTCTCCAGCCGCGTCGTCCCTCGATGGAGCGTGAGCCGTCGATGCCGCCCCGCCGCAACTAGGTGGAAGGGCCATCGACATATCTAAGTCCAGGTGGCTCCCCATCTGCGAATCCGAGATCCTTAACCCCCTCGCCACACCTGGAGTCATCCCGCCATGACCGGATCGTACTGCTCCGTGAGGAACTGCTGCATGAGGCGCTCGTCGCCGCCCCCACGCGACACCTCCGCCTCTGCCCCTATCTCCCCCATTGCTCCTAGCACTCCCCCTTCCACTGCATCTGCTCCTCCAACTGCTCCGACTGCTGCAGCCACAAGCCCATCCTGTGCAGCTGCTCCTCCAGTTGCTCCTCCCGCTGCTCCTCCAGCCGCTCCTGCCTGCCCCTCCACTGCATCTGCTCCCCCTGACGTTGGTGCCTCCTACGCCAGCACCGAAGCTGCCAGCTCCTCTAGCAATGAAGCCGCTGCTGCTACAGCTATCTGGTCCACCAGACCTGCAATCGTCGTGTCCACCAATCCCCCCTCCACCGCTATCTCCCCCTCCACTGCTGCTGCCGACGGTCCCCCCTCCTCCTGCAAGACCCCCGGAGAAGGTGATCGTAACCTCAGTTGTCGGACTGCCCCGCCTCTGTGGAGTAGTCCGCGCTGAGGCAAAGAGGACGCCAACTCCTCCGTGTCCTCTGCTGCTGTGGTCGGCTCATATGGCGAGACGGGCGATGGCAGTGCAGGACTCGGAGCAGAAGGTGGCGGCACGGACGACTCCCGCCTCGTCGGATCAGGGCTCGTCGCCCGCGCTCCTGTGACGCCCGTGGAAGCGACCTCCCCGAACGGTCCCCACAACTCCTCCTCTCCCCCCATCATCTCCCTCTCTGTCCTGTCTGCCGCCCGTCATGCAGTATGCGCCCTGGTCTCCTCCTCGGGATCCTCGTGCGTCTCGTCGATCTCACGGGGAATATAGAGCGCGGGGTAGTCCACTGCCTCGGGTACCGGCTCCTCGTCAGAATCATCCTCCCTGGGATAAGGACGGAAAATGGAAGCACGTCTACCGAATACGGCCTCAACGGCGGGTGCTGCGGAGACCCCGATGGGATCTCGGGTGATAAGCGCAACCTGACGGGCAATCTCCTCCACCGTCATCTCCTGCAAGTGCCCGTGCGCACTGGCTCCAACTCGAGTCCAGCCTGACAGTCTAGCATGCCCTCCTCCCGCTGCCATGGCAACACATAACCGCACCCAGCCCGCCGATACTCCGACAACCGCACATTCGCGGTGATCTCAACGAGCTGAACGACCTTCTCAAAGGCCAACTGGTTGCGCTTCTTCGTGTGAATGCCCTCGTGGACTGCCCAGTTCCTCTCCGCTGGAGAGGCGCAAGACCACATGTGGATCACACGAAGAGCGCAGCGCTGCAACTCAGGCGCGCCAGACCCGTACTGAGACCACCTGGACGCGCACTCAATCGTCTCCCTGTCACCGCTGCAAGCACGCCCACGAGTACGCCCCTCCCCCCCTCCCCAATCCCCAAATGTGCCCTGCTGCATGTGGAAGTCCTCAAACTGCCGACATGCAATGATGTACTCCATACCATCCTCCTCGAAACCCGTCTGCGTCAAAATGTACCTCTTGGCTTGCCTCACAAGCCAACGAGGGTAATCCCTCACCTCGCCCGAAAAGTACTCAACATGTCGCCTGCGGGGGTTCAGTAAGAACCCCGCGCAGTGAGCAGGCTCCAGCATGTGCTGTGTGCGAGCCTACACACGCCTGATGATGCGGTCAGCGAAAACCCTCCCCAAAGGAGCGCATGCATCAGTGACACAGCGGACAAGATCCTGTGTCCACTCGATCATGAGGGACATTTACTGCCCCCCACGATCCATTCGCCTAAGCAGCTCCATGACGGGCTGCATGATGTGGAGTATGGTGGCCATCGTGTGCCACCAAGGCTCCCATCTGATCTGCCGGCGCACCCAACGCGCCATGTCACACACATCGGCAGACCACGGTATAGAAGCAAACTCCCGCCCGTCATTCCCTCGCATCATCGCCTGCAGAGTGTCCTGTAGGGCCAACAATCTCTCCAACATAGAATAAACAGACGCGAACCGCGTCTCGCAAGAAAGCACAAGCCCCTTGTTGGGGCTGCGCTTCCTAAAGAAATGAAGGGCGGCCTGGTGGGTTTTGAAAAACACCACCAGAACACGAGCGCGTGTAATCGCGTCCACAAATGCGTCGCAACTCGTCCCCATGTCTGACAACAATTTGTTGCAGACATGAACGGAACACAAAAGCCAAGTGATCCTCCTGAGTGTAGGAGGGATGCCCGGCGACGCCAATGCCCTCGCAGCCCCCACGTACGCCGATGCAAAGTCTGTGCATATCGCATTGACCTGCTGCGGGCCGCCGAAACTAAACTCGTCTTAGATGGTCACCCATCTCCGAAGAACGTGCACTGCATCGTCCGGCTCGCCGTCGCGATTGATCGTCGTGTAGACGACGACCCCTCGCGAGCTGGCGGCAAGGAAATTCACGATCGGTCTCCCGTCTCGTGATTTCCTCCCGTCGGAGAGGAGGGTGGCACCAGTGATCCAGAATGGCTGCCTCACCTCCTCCAACTCTTCCGCCAGCTCCTCACGGTGGGTCTCCACCGCCTGCATACTCGCAATCTCGCTGTGGCTGGGGAGCACAACGCGCGGGGAACTGCCAGGCTGCTCAAGAAGGACCTGCTGGTATGCCTTCCAAGCCTGGTTGCGGAAGGCATTGAAGGGGACCCCACTGGAATAGAGCCAGCGAAGGAATGCCTTCTTGTGCCGAGCAACCCACTCGCCACTGTAGACGTCAGTGACCTTCTGCTGGCAAAGCCTCTTCCCAGCTGGGGCGGCGGCCGGATCTGTTCCACCTTTCTTCCTCTTGGAAGAACCCTCCCCTACAGGTCCCTTGGTTGCTCGCCTAAAAAAGTCCTCCATCCTCTCCCTAGTGCCTGGATAAACCTCAGGCACGTCCATGTGTCCCAGGACTCCCTGCTCGCCCGGGACACGCGCCTCGCAATCGACATCGATCGCGCCCTCCTTCGTGTCTCCACCTCCACCATCTCCCCCGACCCCTCCTGACGCTCCCTCCAGGGGCTGCCGCCCCGCCTCTCCTCCACCCGTGCAAGGCACATCGAGTCCTTGCTCCGCCTCGTACCAGGCAACCCTCTCCATTTGATCGCTCTCGAACTTCTGTTGACTCTGTCGGGCGATCTCGTACAAAGCCTCGTCGCTGACGTCCTTGCAGTAGTTCGTCTGCGTAAAATGCCTCGTCGCTTGGAATTAGCTCCCCTGAAATACTTTGTTGCAAAAAGTGCAACGCAGCCTCATGACCCCCTTGTTGTCGACCTTCTGGCCGACAACCAGGTAACGGTACCCAGGGGAGCGGCCCCTGAATGTGTCCTGCACATGGTCAGGGGCAGGCTCATGCTGACGCCGCTGCGACCTCCCCATGTCGGCCGCCCTCGCTGCCTCGCGAGTCAACAATCGCAACCCCCTCCTCCCAGCCAAACGCGTGGCCTCAGGCAACCCCCCCCCCC